TAATCTTCATGAATATTTGACATCACCAGTTTATCACTGCGCTCCTGTAGCTCAGTGACTCTTTGAACCAGGTGGTCATAGCTCTCCTTCAGCTTGTGAATCTTCTGGTCTGCACGGGTCTTCACTGACACTAGGATCCCTACAACAAAATAAAAAATGGTCAACATTTTTAAACTATGCCCTGCTAATCATGACATTTGGAACTTGACATCAGTCATTTTGATCTCATATAAAAACAAAAAACAAAACCTGCAAATACAACAATGTGAAAAAAATCTAATGTATTTTACATTCCCAATCTACTTTGCAGCAAGATAAAAATGTATTCTGTTAGCAATTTGAACATGAATGTAACCAAGGAAGACATAAATGAAGACGATCATAAAAGAGAGGAGGCAAGAGGAACTCAGAGACATGTTGTTGCATCATTGATGAGCTGATTAAATAATCAGAGCCATGACCGTTGGTTTATCAGTTCATCCATTTCCTGTGAACACTACAGAGTGGCACTGACCGTTGATAATCCTGGCTACCCTCCAGAGTCGGAGCAGGATCAGAAGACCTATCCCATCAAAGGCGTCCTCGTGGAAGATGAAGACAATGTCCAAGATGAAAGACACTATCACCACAAAACCATCAAACACCTCAAATTTGTGCAGGAAGAATTCCAAGCGGTATGCAAACATCTTCCCAGCCAGCTCCAACATGAAGAAGGTGAGAATAGCCAAGCTCAGGTAGTGAAAAACCTGAAAAACACATAACAGTGTAGTAAAATCTCAGTGATACCCACGGGATGTTTCTCAGACTGTGAAGAAAAGTTGCTTGCCTCTGGAGCAATGTGGCCATGCTCGAGCTTGATGACAGCCAGATCTATGAGCAACTCAGCCAAGACAAAGATGGCGTCCAGGATCACCAAACACACAACCAACACCTGCAAGCAGAGACGGCTATGATGTCAGCTTCTATTAGAGTTTTCAAAGTAAAAGAAGAAACTGATGGAAGGTACTTGAGCTCAAAACCAGTAGTAGTTGAACTAAATCTAACATCTGACATTGTGAAGAAAAGAAAGTCCTCTTGCTTTAAACTTTCTTGTCTTTTGCTGCACTTTATTGAGGAAAAATATGGAACAATAGCTGAGTTATAAACTGCTACAGTTACAATGACGCTATTTCTGCATAGCCCATTCAATACCTGTGTTTCACTGTTCTATGGCATAATCCAGTCAATACTCAAAAAACGATGAGGAATCCTCTGAAACACTTGTTACGGGTTGGAAACTGTGGACTATTCAGCCAGGGATCAAACCCCCAAGCTTCTGATTAGAAGATGACCTGCTCTACCTCCTGAGCTAAAGCCACCCCACTGCTCAGAACAAAACTTCGATAAAGGCACGTAAACGTTTGTAGGACTGGGGGAACCTATATAGATGAGAACCATAAGGAGAGTGTATGGAGGCGTGGTCAGACTCCTGAAATTCTGTTACTCTAAATCTCCAAAACAATAGCAGCCGCTTTAAAAGCTGAGATGATGATCTCGAACAGAAGCTCAACCAAATTTACACTGCATACATTTTTTTTATTTTTATGGACTTTTAATCGTTTGCCCACCCTTATATTCTTCTATATAAAAATATATATAAATATATATATATTGTAATAGCTGAGTAGCTTTGGCAGACAAGGCTCAGACATCTGTTTCTTTGGTACATTTTCTGAAAAGACTACAGCGACATACCTGGAAACGTTCTGAGCTGTACAGCCTCTTGAATGAATCCCTAAATGTTAACGTAACTGGAAGCTGTGCTGTAGCCGGACTCAACTCCTCGCTGGAAACGTGCAGTTCTTCCTCATCGCTCTGGACCACGTGCTGGTCCCCCACAGCAGTGAAATGCTTCAGGTACCGAGACATGATGGCAGGTTGAGGGATGAAGAGAGAGGACCACGTCCCACTTCAGCGCACCTTGGAGAGAAGAACACAAGTGTGCATTTCACTTTAAAGCCATGAAGTGTGGAGCCATAAACCGACGTTTTGCAAGCTGTAGTTCATAAAGTTGAGCAATGTTGCAGGTTCCACTTAAGACCAAAGATGGCATATGTTCAAAACGCTGTATACCTTCTCTACAGATTTCTCCATGTTAGTCAATCCCAGTTTACTTCTCCTTTTTTAGTATTTGCAACATGCTACTGACAAACCAACCTTTTAGTATAGCATACAAAGGAAGCTGAGGAGTTGCTTACTCAATAGATCTGGAAGGAAAAGTCGTTTGGTTATCATGAAAATCCATCCTATCAAAATGTCATGATATCAAGACCGAAGGCTAATGTATAGATTACGAAGCAGCTATGGGTGCTCTGTTCTTAAACTATAATCAAGTGACAATAGCACCAAACCCCAGACATGTTTCATTAACTGCAGAGCTAATAATCCATCTTACATCTTAAATTTACTACAAACAGTTCCGCAAAGGTAAGTTTTAATTTCAGCTACTACTAACACACTTTTCATATGCGTTCATCTGTGATGTGATGGAAGATGTGCAGCAGAACACGGATTTTTCGAGCCTTACTCTGACGCAAATGGTCATTTTACAGGCATTTTTAAATATCCTGGTGTAGCACTTAAAAGAACAAGAAGTCAGAAAGTGAGCGTAAAATTTCCGAGATTCTGCAGCACTGAGCGCAGCTTTGTCTCTTCAGGTCTGCTGGATTTTTCTGTTTATGCGTCTCAGACGTTGGCAGGAGGCTGAAACTCGTGATAGACGCGTCCATCCCTTTTACTTTTGCCATGTAAGCATTTTATACTGAGCACAGCGCAGGCCGGACTCTGCACAGCGGAAGCTGTTATTGGGTTTACACGAATAAACGGTGACCGCAGCTTACCTTCACCTTCTTCTTTGGCACTTTCAACGCTCCTCTCAGAGAAAGTTACTCGGCGTCAAAAAAACCAAAAACCTAAAGAACCTCAAAACTCCGCCTCCGTCTTCAGACCTTCCTCCGCCCGCTTCTGTCCACCTACCCGCCCCCGCCCGTTTTTTTATTTGTTTTGCTTTATTTTGTTACCTAATGTCAAACGTTTATTTCATTATAGCCCATTTCATAAAGCTATACAAATCTTTTTTGAGCAAAACTGAAATATTGCTGACAAAAAGCTCTAGAAGAGCTGCCCCTTTCCCCGCTTGCGTTGTTGCTCTAATTTTCTTTCTCCTCCATAATAGCAGCACTGAGCGTTATGTTCAAATATATGAGCTGATTTCTCAATTTCCATTGGTTTATTTATATTCATTATCTACGCGTTTCATTTAAACATTTATTTAAATCATCCTTAATAGTGATGATATAGATCAGTGGTTTCCAAACTTTTTTCGCTGGG